ACCTCCACGTAGTGCACCCTGGGCAACGTATACTCATATGCAAAGAAGTGTATGAACCGGCAGTTGACTTCCGACTTTTCTACCATGACCCCACTGTATGTCATATTCCACCACTTCCAAAGTACTCATCTTAGCTTTTCAGTGCCTTTGTGTCTGTCTGTCTCTTCTACATTCGTGAATCACTCTTCTGTTCCCCCTCTGGAGTTTTTCCCACTTTGATGTTCCACCCCTCTGTGAAGCCCGAAGTCACCTTAAGGCTAATGATAACTATCAAAACGCCTGCCATTTGAAATAAATAAATTATAAGGTAGTAGTTAGAAGCACTGCCGCCCATTCGATCATGAACGGATCTCCTTTCTTTCAACTGTACACCCATGCGGAAATAAATTAAACGGGGGGGTGGAGTTAGCATTGCTTTAGAGTGTCAGCTAAACCATTTTGAAAAATAATTCCCTTTTTTCAGTTAAATTAACTTGGACGTCAACCATATTAATTCAAAATCCGACCATAACTGTTTCGCCCGACTAAAGCAATTTGCTATGAATTATTCCCCATGCATTCCAATAAATGGTAAAGGAAGTTTCTGACTGGTCACGTCCGGCTTGGCATAGGTTATATAATAGGCGTTTGATTTGTGGGACATACATTGTCTCCTCCCACTAATGTACTTTTAAGCGTTTCACTTCACTACCTCAGTCACAAGTTAGTGTAAAATTAACAAATTTCTTGTGTTGGTAACACCAAGCATATGTGTTTCTCAATTCATATTTCCTTTATAATAAAGAGTTCATATGGCACTCAAAATTCCCATTCAATTTATCGATGAGATTCATGTCCAATTGCATTGTAGACCATGGGTATGGGAGTTTCTGAGGCAATTAAATCAAAGTTTTCCGATAATCTGATTCAAAGAACTACCATAATATTCGAAAAATCAAATTGAAGGTGAGGTTCGTGAAATGAATTCAAGGCGTTGTGATTGATTTTTCTCTTTTTTTAACTTTTGATAAATGGCAACATTCTGGAAGTCAACTACTCCCTTCTTCAATATCGAAGGAAAAATATATTCCTAAAAATAAAATTATTATTATTATTATTATTCAGTTGAATCACAACAATCCCTCAATAAACGGACCGTTTATCGAGCCATTCCATTGAATGAGGTTATTTATACGTTCATGTCTTGAGAAGGTCTTTCCGCTTAGCTATATTAATATTTCATAAAGTGGCAATTTTAACTAATTTTAATTAATTTGACAATAGAAATAACAGCTAAAGCATTAAAAATGTATACTATCCGACTGCTATTAGGTCGTACAGAGATTAAACAAAAAATATTGGCACCTTTTCAATTTATTCTGACGCTTATGCATACCTTTAAATACAATTTCTAAAATCCAGTAAAATTGTGGCAGAGATACGCTTTAGGAATTAGCGAAGGAGAAACGACTTTTAAAAAGGTATTTACGCTTGAAATCGAATACTTCCGTAAATTTAGAGCTGGGAGTTAATTTAACCAATTGAATTCCATATCTCCAAGTCAATAGAGTTGAAAACGCCTAAATTACATATGAGAAGGTAGGAATTTGTTTGTTTTTTTTTTGCTATCACTTATTGTAATAAAATCTAGTGAAAACATGGGGCGATCGTGATTCCTTGAATGCTATCAGATTTATTCTTGTTTAAATAAGGAAATCATTAACTAATCTGTTATACACCTCAATGTGTAAAGTTTCGACTATTTAAATTAATTATTTAATAATCGGTTAATTGTGGGTTGAGAATTTATAATAAATGACCTTGAAGATAGCCCACGTATGTTAATAAATGTGTAAGGAGATATTGTCCTCCTCTGTAAAAAGGTGACTAGAGATTTCAATAGCGGTCTTCTCGAAACAGTGAATCTGTTATACAAAAATAATAGTAATACTAAAGTTATTGGTGGTTCCCTCCATTTAAGTGATCATTAGTGATAGGAAAATGGGGGTAGGTTTTAGCAAACCCAATTAACACTAATTTCAAATTTCACTCTGTTTATTCTTACCGTAAACTTGGACGTAAATGCGGGCCTGAACGAATCTAAACGTACAATTGGCAATTGCATTCAAATGCTCCTATTGTCCAAGCAACTTAATCACTCATTTGCAGGGGCAACAGCCAACCGCTATCAAGACTTTGAACAACTCGCAAATGGGCTTTATTTTAACTGAGGGATAGCTATGTCACTATCACTGCCTCACTCTTTGCTTAATTCCTGGTCGTTTATTAAATGGCATTTGCATGAACCGAGAGAGAGATGGGTTAAGTGTGTGTCCGAAATTTTCTAATTATAGGACCCGCCTACTAATAATTCCCATTTGCTAACGGCTAATCAAAGAATCACGCTTGCTTATTTGCTGATGAAAGGACTGAATACTCTTGAGTAATTTATTTAGTAAGTAGATATAAAATACTGTGTAAGAGCAGATATTTAATTAATTCAATTACCAAAAGGTTGGATAAAAATAGATTTTGACCAAGGAGATGTATGCACTTTGGTGTGGCATTTAATGTGAAGAGGGGAAACGGGGTGTGTAGATTTAAGTCTCTAAATCGGACACTTTTAAAAGTCGTTCACATTTGGAATTACTCAAGCCAATACTACTCGGTTTAACCAAGATTCAATTCTCGACGAAATATCTTTTATTGCAGATCAACTTTCTACGTTGGTTGAGGATAGAGAGTAAATCTAATTCAATTTTTATTTGAGGTAAGAATAAAGTTGTAATTTTGGAGTAAATAAAATTCTACCGAAGTAGAAGAGATGAAAAAGAAACGCGAAAGTTAATTTGTTGAAACCTCGATGCACCTGGTTAACATTTTTAAAGGGATAAAACCAAAATTCATGAAATTAGCTCGACTCAATATTGAAAATTATACTTTCCCTAAATAAGTCCTTAGCAGTTTCGAAATGAATTTAAAATATATTGATATTTTATGAAATTTTTGAGTTGAAAATAATTCCACTTTAAATTTCACCATTCTAAGTGTTAAAGTATCAAGAATTACTATTTGACCTTAAGGTAAATAAAGGGAATGCTTACAAATCAACAATGAAAACAAAAGATATAACTGACTGAGATAGCGTGAATTATAGCAAGATGCAGTTGGTTGACTTTCTTCAGGAAGCAATAGGAGAACTGATAAAACTACTCCAATTAAACCCCAATAGTGAAATTGAAACGGCTGATATGTTGAATAACCATAGAACCGAACCCAAGTGTCTTTAACACGTGTGTGTCCTCGAATCGTATGAAAATGTCCATTTTCCCATCTCATTGCATTTACTGGAGTTTCATTCAGTTCATTCCATTCAAACAGGTTGTGCAAGTGAAATTTGTGTGAAGCGATGTCATGGGTAGTAATACCGTCGTCTTGGAAACATGTGGTTGAGGTAGAACACACCCCATCTGTCGAAGGAAAGGAGGAGGAAGAAGGTGAATAGTAAGAGGTATGTGTAGATGATTGGAAGAATGTTTAAATGATGAGGACGAGCGCTTGCTCCACCTCAATCGAAATTCTTCACAACGAGTGAAGGAACGAGAGAGTCGAAGGAATGCAGCTCGAAAGAATTGAGCGAATGACTTGAACAGTCATCGAAAGGTCCATAAAACACGGCAACTTCAACTGAGACAAAAAGGGGGCAGACATCTTGGGGTTGGAAAATGAAATGAAGTCGGAGTAGTTGAAAGTGACGTGTGCGAAATCAAATGACTCGTGTCAAGTCTAGGGGGAATAACATCATTTAGTTCCCAACTCATTATTTTAGTCTAGTCAGATTATGAATGAAAGTTCAAACTAAACTTAAATGCCCTAAAAAAGCGAAAAAATAAGCTTTTCTCATAATAGTTCCATTGGAAATTATAATCCGCCATATTGTTTAGCCATCAAACATCAGGATGGGCTTCAGATTTTGTTTGGTGAGATGAAAACGAGTTGGTTCTGAGGATTCAAAGTGCGCTTTCGATGGTTGATATATTGCAGAGGAACAATACTTTCCTTATAGGGACTTCGTCAAACATTGAAATAAGTCGAGCTTTCGACGGTGAGGGTTTCACTAAGTTTTAAACGAAATCCCTAAACTAGGAATGTGCCATATGCATCGACTCTAGGAAACGAATGCAAGGCAGAATAAAAAATCGATATAAATGAGCATTTAATTCGATTGAACTCAAAGCATTGACCCAAGTAGCCAACATTTCAAAATAGTGCAGTCTTTAAACACCAGAGAACAAGTGTGAATATCCTACACTGATTAGAATTCACAGACGAGATTCGCGTTAGGAAAAGTAACCACACAATTCGGCATTGTTATGGGAACCTTGTCGAGTGAGATCACACTTTAATCACATGAGAATCAACCAAAGCGAACTTACATCAACAGCAATGCTGTTGGTGGCAGTGAGCACCCAAGGGTGGGAAATGCATTAAAAGTACCATCTTGAAATGGTATAAAAGAGGTGATATGTTGTGCACAAGAGGTGACTTCACAATGGAAGTGAGTGACGGGGAATTAGAGGCGGCACTGTCATCAAGCACGAATGCTCGAGAGTACTTGATTAAGCTCCTTGAACTGGTTGATCCTGACATGGTGAAACATCTGCAGGCATGTTTAGAGGAAGGGGCATGTCATGGAGAGCAGAGTTTTTCTGTGGAAGATTGCAGTGTTGAATTTGAACCCACTGTTGATTCCGAATGCCAATACCTAACAGATCAACTTACAAGTACGAAAATCGATTTATGGTCGTCCTGTCCACCTGATCCAGGTTTTAACTGTGATGAAGTCAGCTACTGTCTTCTTCATCTTGCACGTATGGTGCGTCCNTAATCCTATCGAATAAATAATATGCAACCTTTGTTTTAATTCCCTTTCAAGTTAACGGGCTCACTGATTCTATCAATTTGTCACAAACATCCACTCGTTGGAAGATTACTAGCATGCGCAAAATGAAAGATGGGTTCAGGAGACCGAAACAAATCAAATCTAGTGACATCCGATGTTTCCTGTGCTTCAGGTGCACTATGGAACTTTGCAATGAGGACCGAACCCTTGCAGTGATTCGATCAAAAAGTGAAATTAAATCATTTCTTTGAGGGACTCCATTCCAAATGACAAATGAAATAAGATCCATTTCATGACCACCTAGCAAGATTGGCTCAATCAGAATGCGAGTCGTGATTCTGTGGTTGCTTCCTTATACTCTGTGTTGAGACATTTTGCTGAAAAATAACTATGTCTATTTATTTCCAAGTACCATATTAACCCCGACAAATTAAAACTCAGTGAACTAGTGTGTTTGTCATATGGGATCATTTGATTAGGTTCAATGATCTGTCTACTTTAATTTGGCTCAAAGTGCTGGACATGAAAGAATATAGAAAGTGAAAGCATTAGTCCTCAATTGGAACTCAACGAGAAACTATAACTTGAGTGTTGAGTCAAATCTCTTCTGTTGCCTCCCACTTGATCATATTAACTGCTAAAGACATTACAAATGGAGTATCTCGATCACAATGATTTGTTGCTGTTGTCTACTTCAGAAGTGCATATCGGATTATGTGAGAAGCTGACATCCTTTTCAGTAAAACACGATTCACCTTCCGTTCCTCAAGCTGTGCCTTGTTAACCGATCACCTCCTTATTCAGCACCATTCTCCCTCTCTATTACAGACTCCATTAATGGGCTTGATTTGCAAATATAGCACGTTTGACTCCTTCTAATACTAATGAGAGAAGGGAGTTGGGTGGGTGGGTGGTTGTGGATTTGACTGTCAAATGGTGACAAGTTGAAAAAAATACGTAAAATTCTGAGAGGTAAAATGAAGATATCGTCTGACACTGTTTAACACATTCTTTGATGGCAACAACTCAAAGTACACAATGAAAGTGATGAAATCGCGTGAAATCAAGTGAAATTAGGCATTGATGATCTAACAGTACTGAACGTGATGGATTCAAGTGGAACCGAATTCTGTGAATATATAAGAGATATGAATAACATTTAGCAATAAGTAAAAATGAAAGTAACTAACCCCATCAATCTACTCTTTGACCACCGCACGCACAAATGGATAGGCAGCGATCTGGATAGACGAAAGAGTATAGTGAAAATTCCAGAAAGAAACTTATAAAAATATATAAATTTTCAGCTCCTCGATGGTCAATCAATTCTCTGGCAATTCAAATACGGAAAATGGTGAAAAAAACCCATGGAAGGCAATGAAAATCAATAAATGGAAAAAGAGATTGATATGAGTTTGTTCGATGACTTGAAGTGACTGTTTCAGTTATAGAACCATGGTGGCGATAACTAATGTCGAGATTGCCTGGCATTTGAATAGAAGGCCAGACTCTGCAAGAACATGATCTATTTCGTGGGTCGCTCTATCAGGAATATTTGCAACAATTTTAAAGAGCTGATAATGAAGCAAAAGATTAAATGTTTCGAGATATTTGACCATTCCGTGCATCTGTGCTTGGTGACAATGCCATATCTTACTCGATGTCACTCGTTTATATTGTGAAGTCATCATTTGCGAGTACCATTTTAAAATGATTACTTTAATATTTTTCTCTAAATTTGGATCTCACTACCTCCAATAGCATTACTGTTGATGTAAGTCCGCTTTGATTGATTTTCATGTGATTAAAGCGTGATCTCACTCATTCAGGCTTCCTTAACAATGCCAAATTATTGGGTGGGCAACTAAGTCATTGCCGTTTTTGTTGACAGATTCATTCTATACTTTCTTTTGTTTTGTTAACGTGGCCAGAGCATCTAACCTATATTTTTTTCTTAATGTATGGGCTTCTAGGTAAATTAATAAAAAATTTTTTGTTTAGTTCTTTAGTTTTGTTTTTATCCCACTTTAAAAATGAAAGAACAGGACGTGCACTTCCGACACATTTTATTGTATTACTTCCGAAAGGGCAAGAACGCATCGCAAGCACAAAAGAAGTTATGTGCCGTATATGGAGATGAAGCCTTAAAAGAAAGGCAATGTCGAAATTGGTTTGAAAGATTTCGTTCCGGTGATTTTTCACTGAAAAATTCACAACGATCTGGCCGCCCAGTCGAAGTGGATGAAACCCATACCAAGGCCATTATCGATTCAAATCGTCACAGCACAACACGAGATATTGCAGAGAAGCTCAATGTGTCGCATACATGCATTGAAAAAAATGAAAAACCCTTGGTTATGTCAAGAAACTTGATTTATGGATCCCTCACCAGTTAAAGGAAATTCATTTGACGCAACGGATTAGCATCTGTGATTCGCCGCTACTGAAACGCAATGAGAATGATCCATTTCCGAGGAAGAACCTAGTTACTGGCTACGAAAAGTGGATAGTTTATAACAATGTTACTCGCAAGAGATCATGGGTGAAGCAAGATCAACCAGCCCAAACAGTATCAAAAGCAGAGATTCACCAAAAAAGATTATGCTGTCAGTCTGGTGGGATCACAAAGGAATTTTGTATTTTGAACTCATGCCGCAGAACCAAACGATAAATTCAAATGTGTATGTTGAAGAATTCGAAAAACTGAAGGATGCAATTGAAGATAAGCGGCCGGCATTATCAAATCGGCGGAAGGGTGTTGTTTTCCATCATGATAACGCAAGGCCCCACACATCTTTGGTTACTCGGCAAAAATTATTGGAACTGGGTCGGGATGTTTTGTCACACCCACCATATAGCCTTGACCTTGCGCCTTCGGATTACCATTTGTTTCGTTCCATGCAAAACTCTTTAAATGGTAAAATTTTTAACAACGCGGATGATGTCGGATCACACCTAATTCAGTTTTATAATAGGAAAGACCAGACATTTTACGAACGGTGAATTTTTACTCTGCCAGAACGATGGAAAAAGGTCATCGACAAGAACGGCCAATATCTAATTGAATAAAGTTATATTTTTAAACGAAAATTCCGAATTTGCCTTCTTATTTGAAATCGGCAATGACTTAGTTGCCAACCTAATATATTGCTTTTTTTCCTAATGTTGTTACATCATGTCTCCAGCCTTTGCACCTCCTGTTTGAATAAAAAGAACGGTCTAAAACTCCAGTAAGTGCAATGGGATGGAAAAGTGGACATTTGAAGACACTTGATGCTCATTTTTTTGATTATTCAGCAATTCAGCCTTTTCAACTTCACCATTAGAGTACATTTCTCAATTCTCCTATGGCCTCCTGGAGATAGCCAAACAAAGTTATCTGACTCTGATAGCTGCCGTAGTACACATAGTCTGTCAATTTTCTGTCCTTTTTTAAAGATTGAAACACTCATTTATGTTCGCATATCAATCTAGCTGTCTGAACCATCTTCTCTCTTCCTTCACATGAACTTTTTATATTAAATGGCAGGCGTCTTGATGATTATCATTAGCCCTTTAGTTGACTTCAGGCTTCACAGAGGGGAAGGAACATCAAATTGAAAAAAGTCGAGAGGGAGGGGGGAACAGAAGAGTGTTGCAAAGATGTAAGAGACAAACACGAAAGAAGAAAAAAGGTGAGGTAACTACTTTGGAAGTAGTCGAATATGACATACAGTGGGGTCATGGTGGCTTGAAATCAGAAGTCAACTGCCAGTTAATAGACTTTTTTGCCGTATGAGTATACGTTGCCCAGGGTGCGCCCACGTGGAGGTAAGTCTATCGCACATCCCTCCTTCACAGGAACTACCATTACCATTCGAAAATGTACTAACACAGATTAACACAGACTCCCTTTTTGCATACCATTTCACATGAATTCGTTTAACTTTGAGGAAATGTATCAACACACCATCTTTTAGCAACAGATTTAAAGACTGGCTACTTGTAAATAGAGTGTGACGGTTAAAATGACTCCACTTTTATAACAATCTCTCATTGAACTGTAGCGAAGTCATCCCTTATACCTTGTCCTCGACAATAATTTCAATTAGTCTACTTAATATTAAAAGATCAATTGATTCTTATTACCAGAAATGAAAAGTTTTATGAATCTGTGAAAGTAGCTCTTTAATTAACTGTGTCATTTATACAAATTATTAGATTTCATAATTTTGATCAACGCATGTTTCTAGACAGTCACCGAGGTTTGGATTTATATACTGAGCTATGGTAATAAGACATTTTTCGAGTTCTTCAATTTGTTCTATAGATGGATCAGGAATAGGAGGAGCGCTTTTTGACTTTGCAAATTTAACTGACTTCACAACTTTAGGTGACATGATAGTTGATACTTTACTCGAAGATGTCTTGAGAATTGGAACGATAGATTGTATTCTTTCTGACTCTTCCACTGGCATTGGAACTGGAGTTAGCATCATAGCTGGAACCGGTGATTGAATTTTAGTCGGTTTCAGAGGGGAAGATGGAAGTTGCTTCGTAGAAGTCATTGCACATGGCTTGGTACTTTGTGCTCGAGATGATTTTGAATGCCGTCTTTTTGTTGGATTAAAAGCTGGGGTTGTAATATGTCCAGGTTCTATGTTTGATTTCACATACTCTGCAATTTTCAGACCCAGGTTTTGAAGCAAGTTATCTATGGCAACACTTCTATTCGTTTGATCATTCATAACTACTTTGGTTTTCTTCCGTGTTGCGCAAAATATTAGATCCAAGGAATGTGATCGGCCCCCTTTTATACTATTCTCAAACTTCACTCCTGCCCAAAATATCAATCGTGCTTTTATCTTCTTCATTTTAAACATGATAGCTGTGTGCTTCTGCTCACATGTTCACTTACAACTGTGAAAATTCTCAAAAATAAATTATTAACACACATGCCTAGGGATTGATAAATAAATATTTCATTTTATAAAATAATGATGGATTTAATTTAAAATTTGAAATATGCAAATTTTTTTTAATACACATCTGAGTGTTGATGGAAATAAGATCAATTCACATTTGGGTAGGCGAATATTCACCCCAAACAGTTCAAGTCTACTTTCCATTCTCTAATGATGGCTGTTGCTCTCAAATAATTATTGAGTTATAGAATTAATTTTAAATCACAAGTTTTTGCGTTATTCTTCTCAGTGCTGCCAGGAGTTCGACCCGATTCACGTTGGTGAATAGGATGACAAACTTTCTTGTCATAATGGAAATAATCAAGATATGAAGTGTTCGTTCCAATTGATTTGAAATCACAATTAACAAGTTTTAAGTTGATCTTGGAATTGGAGATTAATGTTAATGAGTGGTTTGTGGTGTCACTATGGGGTTGAGTCCCTATTGGTGAACATAGAGCTCTCTGAGTTTCAATTGTTCTCGAAACCATCAATGAGAATGAGAAAAGTGAAGACCTGTTCGAAAGATAGGTTCATTTCAGAGGGCGTTTTCTATAACTCATTTCATATACCTACGTTGCGACTTGGAGTCTCCCTAGCAGGAAGCGTAAGAACCATCACCGTCTTTACTCAGTTGATTAGTGTCAATGGTGATCCAAGTAGTATTAGTAGTTGAACCATCAGACGCATTCGAAAACTTAATTCGGTATTGGAGTAATTATGAAGTCATTGCACCAATTTTAGTATACTTCTACGCGTATATACTATGTTTTGTGATGATTGGTCAGTTTAATCAGTTTTAACACAAAAGTCATGAGTGTTTTGAGTTGACAATAAAATGCTTCACAAGCTAACATTAAAATGAATTCAGGTGATTGTCTCATACTAATCAATCAAGAAGTTATGTCTTTTTGGTGTCGAGCATTTTTTACAACGCAAAAATTTAGCTATTGAAAGCCTTCGTAGCTCTTAAACACCACGACTTATCGTGGTGATATCATATGAGTTGAGCAATCTCGTTTCTATTTATAACCCCTTTCCCCACCCTTTAATCTCCCTAATCCCCCCAACTTGAAATTCAACATCGCATTTGTACATTTAATGGATTTAGTGACCAGATTATGCGAAAATTATCACTACTAATGTGTACTTATTCCATCGTAGGAGGATCTTGATCAGAGGAAGGAAGTTAAAAGTTAGTCATTTTTACGTTCATTAGATTACACAGTAGTATGAAAAAGCGATCCGGAGAGGGGCACAAATATTACACCAATATATTCATCGAAAGAGTCAATTCTATTGCGTAATGTGGAGAATTTTCGCTCTGAGTACCACGCCTTGTGCATCAGCCGAGTAACCAATGATATCCCAATTGTACTTTGATGTGTTTCTTTCAGTTTAATCTTGTACCGGCTAATGCTGAGGCTTATGACAAACGAGGGGGATCAGGGGGAGATGTAGGGGGGGGGGGTTCAAAATAAGAAATCCAAGAACTGTTTACACAGCAAATGATGAAACAATTGCAATCAAATTTTGGGCCTTGCGATAGAGTAGAGAGTCCTCATTCCAGTGTGTGGGTCCACTATTCAGGTAACTCAGTTGTGCGGGGAAATGGTGCAAATCAACAACCACTGACACACTCCAGCATGTTGAGCACATTTGTACGTATGACGCAATTTCTGATGAAAACGAATTCACTCAACAATATTTGCTCATTTTCGGGGAGGTCTTTACCTAAGTCTTGACACTGCAAAACTAGATGGTCACTTGCTTTCGTCAATCAATTTCACTAATGATTGACAAAACACTATGTGACGGCGTAAGAAAAGACCAAACGTTCACCAGTATCACGGAGTATCACGGCAATTAAGTCGACAATCAAAAATAGCTCATTGTCCTTGAGAACTTGACATACCACATTTGCATCAAATGGTGAGCGTGAGTAAACACCTTTGTGATAAATGCCAACTTGGCCCCATGTCAACCGCACTACCTGAGCATTCACTCGTAGGCATTCTTGGTCTCTCTATGTATTCCACGCCTACTGTTTCACAACTTTGTTCTAACAGTTGATTGTTCGTCAATGAACACAGCACTATAAATGGGTCAACTGACTTATCGTATAGCCTTTCGTCTCTTACTCACGATCCAGATTTGAAGTATAGACTAATTATTTTCACTAGACTGACCAATAAGTATATACTCCACTATTAACCCAAGTGCGCAAATATTTTCACTTCAAATCATTTCGCTTCATATACTCATAAACGAAAGAAGACAATCGAATTTAATAAACTTAATGGAAGTAAAGTAGCCAGAGTTGTAAGTTAGTAACTAATATCAAAAGAAATATTGACTTGAAAATGAAATTAAATGACGAATTTATTGAAAAAAGGGTTTTAGTAAGTCACAATCAATGAATGGGTGACATATGTTAAATTTTAAGTAGATTTGCCCAGTTGTGATAAGGTCAATTGTGTCCAGAATTCCAGTTTTCCTGTTTGTTGACTTGCCTGTGATAAGGCTTATTCAAATGTGACTTAACTGCTACTTTCAACTTTAGTGGCTTTAATGCAATGCACCGAACACATCAAGGTGATAAAGATTAAAAAATAGCTAATTTAAATTAAACATGAAAGAAAAGGCAATTTCTGAACCAATGCCTCCATCGCAACCAGCCCCAGAATAAAACGTAAAGTCCTAACCGACACCCAAGTCAAAACTATCTATTGCATAAACCCCGAATCAATGTCTGTAGTGAAATCACCTGGGTATCCTGTTCGTTAATATATTGTTAACCCAAAGCCTACATCTGATACCGAACCTGTATTGCAGCTAGTACCAGCACTTAAGGGTGATGCATGGTGGGCATCTGTGCCACAGCGAATTTTGCCATGGACACCAGAGCTTGGTGATAAGATGGAGAAGCAATTGGTGCCAACTGATGCGTAGCCACATGAGCAGATTTCAAATCCCAAGGTGGAGTAGATACCACAGCCAAAACAGTGCTCCAATATAACCTGAGCTCGAATCTTGATCCTGAAACCCACTTTCACCTCACAAGAACCCCTTAGGCCATTAATCACACCAAATGACAAATAAACTGCTCTCTTCACTACAGACCCGATATTAAATTTGAGTAAATGGACGAATCCACTCTCCAATCAATGTCAATGTCAGTTCTAAAAGGTCCAAAGGAGGCTCACCATAGTGAAAATATCTATTCCTCTATCCAAATTTAGAGTAGAACCATCGTGGCCTTCAAAATCTCCATGAAGGCAAATACTCCATCAAAAACATCGAAAAAGTAGATGTAGAAGTTGTGTCCAAATGAGTGCCAAAAGCAAAGAAGGATCTAATATGCTAGAATAACTCGGGCAAAAAATCACTAACCGAGTAATGGGAATCACGACCCTTGGCCTTGGAAAGAGCACCCACATTGATAAATGAAGGTGGTGATGTTATGGTCAGCAACAATGTCGCGTGAGCTCAAAAAATCCTGAAACACTTCTCCAAATCACTTACATTAAACACTATAAAATATGTAACTGCTTAGGGGACCGCGTAGCAATAAATAGCCTATTGAAATAGAGAGCTTTCTGCAGTCAAATTCACAATTCTTGCATTGAATATCCCCCTACCACAAATTTGCAGTAAATTAATTGGCTTGTGGTAGTTAGGTTGTCATAATGTAAGGGAGATATCAAAAAAACACTGGACAGCAAATGAATGCAAGCACCGGTTATAAATTGTACTAAAGAGGGGATTTGGTTGGAGAAAATGATGGGTAGAAGGGAAGAGTGGTCGAGAGGGCAAGGAGAAGAAGTATGCAATTCAAGCTAGAAGTCTTGCTACATTTGAGTTCTTGTTCACAGTCTCGACCGCACTGTTTACTGACAATCTGTTTTATGGGGAAGAGACAGACGACGATACCATCTTACTTCTCTTCTTGGCATGGGGCTTATTTGGTTATTTATCACAAAGGAGTTTACTCACGTTTACCATCTATTGTAAATATGACGTACCCTGATATTCAACAACGTGAAATTGTAGTTGCAAAGCCATCATTAGAAATAATACTGCATTTTTGAAAATCTTTTTTTAGCGCTTATAAAAGTACACAAATATCATGTTTAAAATGTAAAACATGAAAACACGTTATTTTTACTCCACAGAAGTACAATTTCAGAAAGGTATAAAAGCAAGACAATATAATTTCATGTTTTAAAAAGAGATTGAGCAATAAGGAGAATTAACACCAAGAGCTAGAGTTAAAAGACAGATGGGAAAGCCAGGTTTAGATATTAAGAATAATAGAGCACAAACTGTTAAGGCAGCCAAGAGATCTGCTTCTAGATCAACTACGAGGTCAAAATCAAGACCAGCTTCAGCTACAAGATCAACTGCGAGAACAACAACACGATCACTATCAAGACTGGGAACTGTTGCAAGGAAGGCCACAAGGTCCGTCTCAAAACAGAAGGCACGATCTGTATCTAGATTGCCAACATCAGCAAGAAGAGCCTCAAAGTCCGTTTCAAGATCAGCATCAAGAAATCTTGCAAGACTGGCAAAAGCAGCAAGGGGAATTTCAAGGTCCATTTCAAGACCTAAAACTCGATCACTTTCAAGTCTGCGGACAGGTGCAAGGACAGCTTCAAGGTCTGTTGCAGCACAAAAGTCACGATCGGTGTCTAGATTGGCAACCGCAGCGACTAGAGCATCAAGATCCGTTCCCACATCCGAATCGCGATCTCTTTCAAGACTGGCAACTGCAGCAAAAAGAGCCTCAAGATCTGTTTCAAGACTGGCAACCACAGCTAGGAGTGCCTCAAGATCCATTTCAAGACCTAAATCAAGATCACTTTCTAGACTGGCAACTACAGCTCGAAGAGCCTCAAGATCCATTTCAAGACCTAAATCTAGATCACTTTCAAGACTGGCAACCACAGCTCGAAGAGCCTCAAGATCCATTTCAAGACCTAAATCTCGATCTCTTTCAAGACTGGCAACTACAGCCAGAAGAGCCTCAAGATCCATTTCAAGACCTAAATCAAGATCACTTTCCAGACTGGGAACCACAGCTCGAAGAGCCTCAAGATCCATTTCAAGGCCTAAATCCAGATCACTTTCTAGACTGGCAACCACAGCTCGAAGAGCCTCAAGATCCATTAGAAGGCCTAAATCCAGATTACTTTCTAGATTGGCAGCAGCTGCAAAAGCGGCTTCAAGAACTTCTAGACGAGCCGTTCCAAGAAAGGCAACAGGAGCAAGAAAAGCTTCAAGATCTGTTGCAGGACCTAAATCACGATCAGTTTCTAGAGTGGGAACAACTGCAAGACGAATTTCACGATCCGCTGCTAGACCCAAGCCTAGATCTCTTTCAAGATTGGCGACAGCTGCAAGGGCAGCTCCAAGAAGTGCTAAGCGACCAGTTTCACGAAAAGCGGCAGGTGCAAGGAGAGTATCAAAATTCGTTGCTAGACCCAAACCACGGTCTATCTCTAGACTGGCAACAGCAGTCAGAGGAAGTTCAAGATCCATTTCAAGACCTAAATCTCGATCTCTTTCAAAACTGGCAGCAGCTGCAAGAAAGACTACAAAAACAACTAAACGAGCAGTTCCAAGAAAAGCGACAGGTGCAAGGAGAGCTTCAAGATCCATCGCAAGATCCAAGTCACGATCACTTTCAAGATTGGGAACAACTGCAAGAAGGGTTTCAAGATCCATTGGTAGGCCCAAGTCTAGATCTCTTACAAGACTGGCGGCAGCTGCAAGGAAATCTACCAAAACTACTAATCGAGCAGTTTCAAGAAAAGCGACAGCTGCAAGAAGGATTTCGAGATCCGTTGCAAGACCCAATTCACGATCTCATTCAAGATTGGGACCAGCTGCTAGAAGAGCTTCAAGATCCATTGGAAGACCTAAATCACGGTCTATCTCAAGACTGGCAACAGCAGCCAGGGGAATTTCAAGATCCATTTCAAGACCTAAATCTCGATCTTTTTCAAGACTAGCAACAGCTGCAAGGACAGCCTCAAGAACTGCTAAACGAGCAGTCCCGAGAAAAGCAACAGGTGTAAAGAGAGCTTCAAGATCCATTGCAAGACCCAAATCAAGATCTATCTCAAGACTGGCAACACCTGCAAGGGCAGCAACAAAATCTGTGAGACGTACTGTTCCGAGGAAGGCAGCATGCGCAAAGACATCTACGAGATCATTTGCAAGATCTACTCGAAGATCAACTAATAGACCGGCAACAACTACTAGAACAACTGCAAGAGCTTCTGCGAGACCATCAACAAAATCGGCTACGTCGAAAGGTACAACTACAAGACCAGCCGCACCTACAAGGACATCCACAAGAGCTGCTGCCAGATCAGCAAAGAAATCTGTCACCGCAAGACGGGCAGCCACAAGACCTACTGCGAAACCTGCTTCAACTGCAGCCCAATTTAATAACCCATCTCCTTCTGCATTCCCTACTTCCACCCCTCCTCTCACTCCTCCTCCACTTGATCCTATCCAGAATCTTCAGCAATTTCTTATTTCTATTGCCCAGTATATAAATTCTAACTCCGGTGTCAGCCTACAGTAATATGTTGACCATAATTAGCAGTTGTCCCAAGCTCTTTATTCAGTCTGGTCTCTTAAAGCCTCAATTTCACTGTCCTTATCACCTTATTATTTCCTAACTTAGAGTTTAGAAATTTTCATTTCTGGTAATAATAATTTCCATAAAAAATCAATTGATCTTTTAATATTAAGTAGACTAATTGAAATTTTTGTTGATGACATGACATACTGATTGATTTCGCTACTGCACATAGAGTGATTGTTACGAACGTGGACGTATTTTAACCGTTACACTCTATTTACAAGTAGCCAGTCTTTAAAACTGTTGCTAAATGCTAGTGTGTTGATACATTTTCTCATATTAAGGCTGCCAAATGCTATTACTTAATGGTAAGGTGAATTCATGTAAAATGGTATGAACTAGTGAGAAAGAAGGGAATCAGAAATACTTCTAAAGTTATTATTATTATTTCAAATGGCAGGCTATATGACTTTTATCATTAGCCCTTAAACTTTGACTTCAGCTTCCCCCAAGGGTAAGGGGGAGGGGGTACATTTATAGCAGTTAATTAATAGTAGTTCATTAGCTGTCTTCTTGCTTCCCAGTATCTCTGGCTTTCCGTCCTTGTCTTTAGGGCTGGACATCGAATCAGGTGGGTCTTCTCCATTTCCTCCTGTAGGTTACATAGAGGGCATGTGGGTTGAATGTATACTCCCAATCTGTGAAGATGTTTTGCCAAGCAATCGTGTCTGGTACGTAGTCTAAACTCAGCAACGGCTTCGATTCTTGGCCAGTTGGCTATATCGGAGAGTGCCACTGTCCACTGTTTCTCCTTTGTTCGAACTTTAAGTTCGTTGCACCTTGGGGTCTTGAATTCTCTCCTGATTAAGGTCTTCATTATGTGGAAAGACATCGGTCGGTCTATGCCTTGCAAAATTGTAGTCCCCTTCTTAGGAAGTGTGTCAGCAAGCTCATTGCCTTTAATGCCACAGTGACCAGGAATCCATTGTAGGACCACTGTTTTGTTTTTCTCTCTCAGCAGCTGATAGAGTTTTCTACATTCGTATATCTCAGGTGTTTTGGGTGGCTCTCTGTTTCCAACTGAGTTTATTGCTGACTGTGAGTCCGAAAGAATTACTTCTTTGTTGAATTTTGTATCCAGGCAACGTAATTGGATTAGCGCTATCCTAATATACTACTAAAGTGATTGGAAGCAATGGTGTTACCAGTGTGTACCAATGTCCCTGCCAAGAGTCAGTATGGTTGAGTACATTAATATTTCGTGCAACTTGTGCTTCCACCCTGTGTGCATGTTATCTCATTGGTCTCCCAACCTCCGAAATGACTTCTGATGTTGTTGACTTAGACCCACCTCCACTTCCTCAATACCAACTTGAATGATGGTTTAAACTACCGACACATATTCAGCCCGTCTTCAGAGACGCACATTTCATGAAAGAGGCCAATTGGTCTATGAAAGACAGTATATAACAAACAATTAGAGGTCTCTCCAAGCAATCCTTAATTGTCTCCGACCTTCGAAAAAACGCTCTTCTCCAATGCCCACAGGGGAACTTTGAGAAGACCTACGTGAGCATGTTTCAGAAACTGATGGGTTGATTGACTTTGATTGCAACTGATTCTCCCGCTACTACGACAGTTGGCAATAACTCAAAGATAAGATGAATGGCAGCGAATGAAATGAAATCGGTTTAATAGCAAAAAATTCAACTTCTTTTATATAAGTCATTACTTGTTTCGAAAAGAGTTTGAAATATATTGATATTTCATAACATTTATATGTGGAAAATAATTTCACTTAAAATTTCACCATTCTAAGTGTTAAAGTATCAAGAATTACTATTTGACCTTAAGGTAAATAAAGGGAATGCTTACAAATCAACAATGAAAACAAAAGATATAACTGACTGAGACAGTGTGTATTATAGCGAGATACTGTTTATTGACTTTCTTCAGAAGGCCATAGGAGAACTGAGAAAACTACTCCAATTAACCCTCAATAGTAAAGTTGAAACGGCTGATCTGTTGAATAACCACAGAATCGAAACCAAGTGTCTTCAACACGTGTGTGGCCTCGAATCGTCTGAAAGTATCCTTTTTCCCATCTCATTGCACTTACTGGAGTTTCACTCAGTTCGTTCCATCCAAACAGGTTGTGCAAGTGAAATTTGTGTGAAGCGATGTCATGGGTAGTGATACCGTCGTCTTGGAAACATGTGGTTGAGGTAGAACACACCCCATCTGTCGAAGGTAAGGAGGAGGAAGAAGGTGAATAGTAAGGGTATGTGTAGATGATTGGAAGAATGTGCAAATGATGAGGACGAGCGCTTGCTCCACCTCAATCGAAATTCTTCACAACGAGTGAAGGAACGAGAGAGTCGAAGGAATGCAGCTCGAAAGAATTGAGCGAATGACTTGAACAGTCATCGAAAGGTCCAAAAAACACGGCAACTTCAACTGAGACAACAAGGGTGCAGACACCTTGGGGTTGGAAGATGAAATGAAGTCAGAGTAGTTGATAGTGATTCAATGATGGAGGAAGATATGTCTCAAGGAGGGGAGGGGGAGGGGGGGAGTGCTGGGTGTGGCACTTAGTTTGCCTGTAATAGATGTTGGAGAGTATTTGATTAAGTAGCCTGAATCAGTTGATCCTGGCCTGTTCAAATAATCTGAAAAATTTTGACTTTAGCTTAAACTCAGCCTTTTTAAAAAGTTTTACCTATTAAAGATGCAATGACAAACGGATAAGCTTTTGATCAGTCGGACGGGTTCATGACCGATTTGACGTATTTTACCTGTAGTTTAAATCAAATTAATAAGATTACCATCTTTCAATGTTTGCCCTCATTTTCAAACTTAAGAAACATTGGTGGTCGCCACCATGGTTCTTGAACTGAAGCAGTCACTTCAAGTCATGGAAAAAACTCATATCAACCTCTTTTCCCATTTATTGATTTTCTTTGGTTTCCATGGGTTTTTTCACCATTTTCCGTATGTGAATAGCCTGAGAATTGATTGACCATTGAGATGGTAAAGATTCAGGTATTCTTTCAAGTTTCTTTCTGCAAGTTTTACTATACACTTTCGTCTATCCAGATTGCTGCCTATCCATTTGTGCGTGCGGTGGTCAAAGAGCAGATTGGTGGGGTTAGTTACTTTCATTTTTACTTATTGATAATTGTTATTCACCTCTCTTATTTATTGAAAGAATCCGGTTACACTTGAATCCATCACGTTCAGTACTGTTAGATCATCAATGCCTAATTTCACTTGATTTCACGCGATTTCATCACTTTCATTGTGTACTTTGAGTTGTTGCCATCAAAGAATGTGTTAAACAGTGTCAGACGATATCTTCATTTTACCTCTCAGAATTTTACGTATTTTTTTCAACTTGTCACCATTTGACAGTCAAATCCACAACCACCCACCCACCCAACTCCCTTCTCTCATTAGTATTAGAAGGAGTCAAACGTGCTATATTTGCAAATCAAGCCCATTAATGGAGTCTGTAATAGAGAGGGAGAATGGTGCTGAATAAGGAGGTGATCGGTTAACAAGGCACAGCTTGAGGAACGGAAGGTGAATCGTGTTTTACTGAAAAGGATGTCAGCTTCTCACATAATCCGATATGCACTTCTGAAGTAGACAACAGCAACAAATCATTGTGATCGAGATACTCCATTTGTAATGTCTTTAGCAGTTAATATGATCAAGTGGGAGGCAACAGAAGAGATTTGACTCAACACTCAAGTTATAGTTTCTCGTTGAGTTCCAATTGAGGACTAATGCTTTCACTTTCTATATTCTTTCATGTCCAGCACTTTGAGCCAAATTAAAGTAGACAGATCATTGAACCTAATCAAATGATCCCATATGACAAACACACTAGTTCACTGAGTTTTAATTTGTCGGGGTTAATATGGTACTTGGAAATAAATAGACATAGTTATTTTTCAGCAAAATGTCTCAACACAGAGTATAAGGAAGCAACCACAGAATCACGACTCGCATTCTGATTGAGCCAATCTTGCTAGGTGGTCATGAAATGGATCTTATTTCATTTGTCATTTGGAATGGAGTCCCTCAAAGAAATGATTTAATTTCACTTTTTGATCGAATCACTGCAAGGGTTCGGTCCTCATTGCAAAGTTCCATAGTGCACCTGAAGCACAGGAAACATCGGATGTCACTAGATTTGATTTGTTTCGGTCTCCTGAACCCATCTTTCATTTTGCGCATGCTAGTAATCTTCCAACGAGTGGATGTTTGTGACAAATTGATAGAATCAGTGAGCCCGTTAACTTGAAAGGGAATTAAAACAAAGGTTGCATATTATTTATTCGATAGGATTATCTCCTATTTGAAAAAATTAAAATGTGTTAAATGAACTCCCATGTAAATATGCAGAAATAAATGAGATTGGGTGCTCGTGGGTAAATGATTTATTTTGACAATTTACAAATATCAAGAGCATTCTCCCAGGCACTCGG